AATTAATCAGGCTTCAGTGAAAAGGCTTTAGAAACATCTTTTAAACATCTGTTAAAATATGCTTGATAACAAGAAAGGAAGTCTTTTAAGAGTTTAAAGATATTTTAAAATATCCTGTAATTGATTACTGAGAGTTAAACCAACCTTTCCAGAATGCCATCAACCAGGACTCCTCTTCCTGGTTTGTCTTCTCTCCTTCATTCAAAACCTTCAACATAATACACGAGTGCTCCCCTGTTAAATCATTCTGGAAGAGAAAGGGGAAAAAATTAATTTTGATAAACCAATTAAATCCCACATAGTAATTATTTGTGAAGAGAAATAATCAGTAACAGACACATCAAATATACTTCTAGATAAATTCATCTAATTTTATTTTTTCTGAGAACACAGATGCATGAAGAATCACAGTCAAAAAAATAAAGTGAGATGAGAAAGATGACAGCCAAACAGTATCACTTACTGGTGTTTGCCTAAGGTAAACAGGGATAAAACCAGAACGCTTCCAGAACCTGAAAATATACAGGAATGTATCTTCATCATCTTTTTCTCATTGCTTTCCTAGGATTTTTTCAACAATACTGTTTCCCTCAACACCGCTTGCCCCTAAATGGTGTAACCTTTGACCTTAGTACACAAAACTTCTAAAATTTTAAAAATATTCACTGTATTCGTATTAACTTACTTCAGGAGTCCTGCAGTCAACCCAAACGACACTCCAAGATAGTCCAGCTTTTCTGCAGGTCTCTCACTGAGCTTCAGTAACAGTGGTGGGAGGTTTTTTCGGGGTGCAATCCTCTCCTCAAGAAGACCCACAGCCTATTGGGGCAAAAGGGCAGGTCTTTAAATATCGTCATGTGTATGAAAATTATAAATTTAGAGATTGGCATGAATTAATCACTGGCTGAATATTTAGAAAACACTTACGTCTTTGCTAACAGTAGGAACAGCTTCTTCCACAACAGCATCTTCCACTAAACTGGGTATCTTGCCCTCATAATAATGTTGCAGAATTTCCAAGGCACGAGTCCCATATCCCATCTAGAACAAAACATCACATCTTTACTCAATGTATAAATATAAAAAATAAATAAATAAGTAAATAAATAAATAAACTGACAGCCATATCATAATTTAATTCTTACAAACAAGCACTATATCATATTTGATTGCCAAACATTTCATTGACAACTTCACAGAATCTATACAAAGTTTGAGCAGTGAAGACTTGAGTCTCACCCCCTGATAATCTGGGTGGGTGGCTATCCTCACCACTCTGCCTCCTGACAGCTGGGGGAAGTCGTGATCTTGAAACTGAAATGATGATACACATAATAATAGTACAGTTAAAATCAAATGGAGGCTGTGAGCCACTTTTACTGATGGAGGAAGACTCAAATTTTTTTTATAGAAATGCTCAGACATATTTGTTGTGGAACAGCCATTAAAAATTAAAAAACATTCAAAACCTGTCAACAGTGATAGATGGATGGTCTGTAGAATGATTGTCCTTTAAGCATAAATTTCCCTAAACCATGGATCTTTTTACATTCACCGTTTATGCAGCAACTTTCACTACTTGCCTGCTGAGAGATAGTCCATGGAATAAGATCCCCTGATGCTCTCTTGCCTCTGGAGAGACTGTTCATTATGTTAGATTTAGAGATCTCACCTTCCAGACACACCTGAATCAATAACACTTTAGATGAAACTTAGCAAAGTCACTGCACATAAATAAAGACAAAATGCAATTCCATGCCCCATATCAACCTTTTGTCCAAAAAGCAATTTGTTTTGCTTCAGAAATATTTCATCAAACAGACCACTATTCAGACAATAACAAACAGATTTACTGTAAAAAGACATCTTAATGTACAATGAACCTCACATAAAACCTTCTGGTTTTTTTCTCCAGGTCCCATGAAATACAAAATTCTCTAATACTATCACTCTAACCTGTAGGACACAGAGCACTTCTGGCAGTGTGTTCTGTGTGGGGTCTACTGGTCCCAGGAGAACAAAGATGTGGTGCGCTGGAGCATCTGACAACATCTGAAGGTCATTGGGAGTATTCTGATGATAAAAACAAAAACGGGATAAACAACTGTATTTCATCAGTAATTGAACCAGAGAAAATGCTGTTTTAGCATTTAGTGATATTTCCAATACAAGCTGACAGTAAACCCACTTAACAGTGGGCATTTCTTACAGAATCTTACAGAACATACCATGATAGCAATGCTCCATTAAAATTATTACCTAATAAATATATATCTTTCATTAAACTTAACAAGTAATGCCGTATTGTATACCTTGTAGTGAGAAGCAACATATAGCCCCATGATTCTCTGTAAGAAAGCCTCAGAGGCTTTGTGATAGGAAAACAAAGTGTCCCTGTTCACATAGTACAAATCACAATTCTCAGGGACAGGGCACCCAGACGAGATCCTCTGAACATTGGAAGCATCCAGACAGAGAACTTCATTCAACCACTGCTCTACAGCATCCCCATCTCCATAGCGTATAGACTCCATCAGCGATATCTCATGCAGTATGCGACCTACAAATGACAAATATTCATTCAAAAAAAGCATAATATGTTTGAAACTTAAGAAAAGAATAAAATAATCTAAGGTTGTGTATACAGGATATTTATACCTCTTCACATGCTTCAAAACTGGAAATATCTTTTCCACTCAATGTGTTCAATATGACAGAAATCAGACGTAAGACACTTATGGTTTCTAATGTTCACTGATTGTGTACATATATGGATGTTTTGATTATTTGAAAACTATTACTGTAAACAGGTGAACTACCTGTGGCAGAAGCCAGCCCGCCAGGTGCCCCTTTCTGTTGATCGGTTGCCTGCTTCCCAAATGTCACATTTTGTTGCCTTAATTGCTGCAATAGCTTCAGGGACAAAGACCTTCCAGTGCCTTCATAACTTTTCAAAAGAAAATTTCAATGGTTACGTCATACTTTATCTTATCACGCATATCAGAATTATACATATTTCAAATCAAAGGGTGTGTTCACAATTAACTAGGGAGTTCAAAGCAACTCTGCAGGGACTCTCGCTGAATGAAATCAGATTAACAGATTTAAGATATGTCTCCTCCTGGCACTGAGTAAAATAAAGTAAAGCTGGTGATTATATGGGTATGTTGGAAAGAAGAGGGGGCATATTACCTAGTACAATAGTTTCAATGCACTTTCTATTTTCTGAGTAAAGAAATGAGTTCTTTGGTGCATTGAAACATTAGAAATTATCCTTACCCATTTACTGTTGAAGCCATGAAGACAAGATATGGACCAAGAAGATTTTTCACCAGAGGTAATGGAATGGCTGCTGCCTCATCTATACAGACCAGTTCTGCTTGACCCAGCTTGTGTGCATCTCCAGGGTGAATATACTGAAAACAAGAGGATACCTTTCAACTACAACTGAGTTGATTTACACATGCTGTTTAGACATCTAGTCGAGCTTGTTACAAGCTATATTGCTGGCAAACAGAAGTATTAAAAATGTTCATGTTGTTAAAATAAAGTTGGTCATCGAAGTAAAGCTCTATTAGTGAGTTGTGGTCACCAACCTGTATGGTCTGCCTGTGCTCTCTGAAAATGTTCACTCTAACTATAGCATTGTTGAACTCTGGATTGGTGGACTGCACCAACTCATAGTCTAGATGCTCCTATATATACAAACAGAAACATATTTTTCACAAGTTAATCAAACAGATTTCAATGCACTAAAAATAAAAATATAATTTTTGAACTATTAAAATTGCAATACAAAATCTTTATTTTTAATATGTTACATTTGAAATGTGTCTACACAGAAGGTTATTGGTAGACTAGCTTAATTCAGCAAAGTGAAAAGAAGACAATTTACATTCATTGATTACCTGATATTCTAAACTGTCAAATCCTTTAAATACAAACTCAAATACTGTTTTCAAGTTCTCTGGTGAGGGGGAGGTGACAAAAATATTGGAGTACCTGAATAATATGATAAAAATTATTTCCATCTAATATCTATCTAATTTAAATCTGAAATTGAAATGGATATAAATTTTTTAAAAATGTAAGAAAAATAGGAAAGAATACATCTTTAGAAAGCATAACACATTTATTAATAACTGCCAAATTGTAAACTAACTGCCAAATTGTATATACTAATAATATATTTTTAAACCAGTATTTTACAATTCTTACATATACTTTTAGCCTAATATTGAAATCCATAGTTTGAAAATCAACTCTGAAAAAATGGTACGTACCCAAAGCCCACTGCAGCAGCAATGGCTAGGCCCAGTGCGGCAGACTTCCCTCGACCACGAGCAGCTGTAAGTGACACTGTGCTGCGCAGAGTCTTCTCAGATATTGCTTCAACAAATTTGAGCACTGCTTTTGCCTAAGGAAAAAAAAGAGGATACAAAAACAAATTTTGTTAATATCCATGTGGATAATTCAATCCA